GTCATTAAGACTTTGCCTCGCCGAAGCTGACTCAAAAGTGAGCAACGACAGTCATCTACAAAGGCCGGTCACTAGCAGTCATCTCTCTTTCTCCCGTCCCTGTCTTTACTCCGTCCATCTGTCTCTGTCTGCCCCGCTCGCCCTCCGTCTTTGTTTCCACCTATTTTGGCCTCTTTACTGACTCTTGTATTCTCTTCACCCACTGATTCTCCCCCCTTCGTTCTCCATCACATTCGATTCCTCCTCTCTGTTCCCGTCCCGCTTTAGGAAAATGAGTTTTTCCCTCTACTTTCCATCCTATCTTCTTAAAGCCAAAATGTGTGTATAAGTTTGTGTGTGTTGATGTGTGAGGGCGATGTGTCCTCAATCACAGTGAAAGCATTTGTTTCCCTCTGCCAGGGGAGATAGATTATGTATTTCACTCCTTTTCGTCGCATTGGCTTTTTTTTTTTCTTCTTCTTTTTTTTTTTTTTCTCCCTCCATCACGCGTTTTGTCCTCCCCACTCAAGGTCATTTGGAAGATTGCTTTCAGGCCCCCTGTGTCCTCCCCAACTCGCCATGTTTTATTGTGTGTATGGCCGTCAGTGGCGGCGTATAATGCGTTTGTGCATGTCTGAAATCGTGGAATTGGGGGGGCTGTGTTTTTTGTCTCGTTCAATCTGTCCCGTCTTCTCATCAGGTAAGCGGGGATGTGGTTTGTGTTTGCCCGCGCGGGGCCCGCTGATGGAAAAGCAGTCAGCTTGGCAGTCGATCTCCAGTTTTCAAGTCGGTTTCGAAGAAAAGCAAATGGGGAAGGAAAGGAAATCGTTACGATTAAACACAGCTGATATTAAGACGTTCGGATCTTGGAGTGTTTTTTATTGAACATGCTTTAAAAGTGAAATGTTTCAAAAAGGTTCCCTCGCAAATTTTATAGATGCATTTTCCTACGTAAATATTTAATGAGTTTATTGATTCCTCCAGTGTGTATGTGTGCCTGCTGTAAAGTGTGTGGCTGGTTTTTGTATGGACGGTTGGAGGTATTAATTTTCACAGTGGTGATTTGGGTGAGTAAAGGGCTGGCAAGCTAACTGGTGTTCTCAGCATGCTTTTGAGCGTGTGTGTGTGCGCGAGTGTGTGTGTGTGTGTGGCTGATCAGTGAGCTGGCTGGTTTTATGCTTCACTACCCTGGCTGCTCATCCATGTGTACCATCTGCATGTGGCGCTGCCATGTGTGTCACCTATACCCCAACACATCCCACTCCTCTCCTATCTCTAACCATCCCTCCATCCACACCTGACACTGTCTCATTGTCTTCTTATCTCGCCGGCTTCTCCGCTTTCATTTAAAAAGCTAATTTATAAAAAGAGAAGGAAAACAAAAGCTGACATCGCAGTTAATTTAAATCCTTTCAGTTACTTTGCGCCGCATATTAATAACGAAGAATAATATTTATACGTGGCTCTTCATCATTTTTATTCACCTTTTAATTTTCCCTTAAGCAACAAACCATCATATCCTCAATCAGTGCAGCTGGGTAAGATGCAGCGTGGCGCCATTTGTTAGCTACGCAACGCTAACGCTCTAAGTGATCGATCCATGCCAAAGCTAACTATGAGACAGATGAAAGTGTCACAATTACAGTCAGGCTGAAGTGATGAATTGATCCCTGCATTTTCTGCTGGAAAGGAGTTTTTGTCTTAGAGACGCCATCGTTCATCTACACAGCCTCATTATACCTTCTGGTGTTGCAGCGACAGCCGTGACTCATTGACTCATCACGCCGTTGTTTGTAAACTCGAAACCCGACTAACCATTCTCCATTCCATTCTTCATCTTATCTAATGTTTCCCGTTCCTCTGCTATCTCTGCCTCTCTGCTGCTGCTGCTGCTGCTACTACGAGCTCCCGTCCACGTATCCTTCTCAGCACCTCCCTTCATCTTTAATATCCTTCTCCCCAAAGCACTGACTCCAGCTTCCTGAACTCTTCACCTCTCCTTTTGTTCTCTCGCCTGCATCTCTTCCTCCCTTCTACTGAACGCTTTCCTCAGGTCTGCGTTATTAACATAAAAAAGGAGGAGAGACTACCTTTTTTTTTTCTCTCCAGCCCAGACTGTGAGTCACTCCGCCCTGCCAGCTACAGGCTGCTTCCCTGGCTGTCAAGTCGCGGCAGATGTGAAACCGATTTTAAGGGATGGGGTGAGGACAATGGCTCGTGCGTTACAGAGGCTTGCATCCAGCAGTTAAAAAGAACTGTGCTGCTGCTGCTGCTGAACAGTCAGGTAGATGGCTGCGCTGCTTCTGGAGCAAAAATAGGTCAAATATAGTATTGTTTCACAAGCAAAGAAAGGGAGCTGCCTTCTGCTAAGCAATAGAGGAAATGAGGCTACTCTTGTAAGTGATGCTATTCTATATTTGCCTGTGTTGTGTCAGGGCATACCTTATCGAGGTAATTCCCAAGCATAGGGGAAGCGGTATTTGAATAATGGAGTGGCTTAATGCATAAATGGCAGTGGGGTAAGTGCAGAAGTGAGGTAGGGAACCGCTTCTTTACAATACTATATTCATCTCCCCCGCCGGACTGCTGTCACATCCATTCTTAAGAAAGATATCATCGATTGCATGCGCGCTTTAAATCACGAGAAGGACTTCAAGCTTGTCTGCATGCAGACAGTAATGCATTACAGAGTTAGTTTTATTACTTTTGAATTACTTTGATGAACACACTAAAATGGCTCATCCGAAAAAGATACATTAGCCGTCCGTCATTTTTGCGAGGTGGATGACACATTCAGCTAAAATGTTTTTTCACTTTTCCCTCAATTAAGTCGACGTAATGTTCTCACTTCCACGAGGAGACGATAAAAACGGAGAAACGTCGCGGCTTCCATTTTCTTTCTTTCTTCATTTCGGCATTCTCTCGCCGTGTATTTACAGCTCAGGAGGGATTTACTCACTACATGCTGCATTATATTCACTTTGAACCGTACCACTGTGACTTTGAAAAGGCTTGTAAAGGTCAATGTAGTCGTGCTACACAAATAAAGCATTAAACAACTTTGTTGCTCGGTGCATAACGCAAAGCTGCATAAGAAGTTCTCCTTTACACCAGCGGCATTCGTCTCTGTCTCATCGTCATTCATGGGCTTGAATGAATTAACACACAAACTTTCACCAGATAGTGGCTCCAGCTGCTGCACTAAACAGAAGGTGTGTTTTTGAGGAGACGGGGCCACTGTGACCTTGCCTTCGGATGATGACAAAGTGAAACTCGGTCTATGCATGTATGTGTGTGTGTGTGTGTGTATGTGTGTGTGTGTGTGTGTGTTACTAATGACCAGTGCTTAAGGGGGAGATGAGGGTAGATGGGCCATGCAGCAGGGCAGAGGGGGCAGGGAAATGATTCCATCGATCATTCTTGATCACCTAAACAATGTCACACTGCACATTCATCTCTCTGTGTATATATATATATATGTGTGTGTGTGTGTGTGTCTCTCTCTCTCTTTGTGTCTCATATTGACACACATTGCGACTCTCACCTCTTGTCTGTCTAACCTTTCCCTGTGTGTACGTACACATGTGTGCTTCCAGACTGATGCTGCGGCGACGGGTGCTGGCCAAAATGCCAGCTATTGCATATTTCCATTAGCATTGTGAAGGCTGGCCGTAGATTGCTATTGATTGAACGATGGCCTCCGTTCATTGGCTATTCAGTCTGAGGCGCACACACTCGTGCACCAGAGTGGGTGTGTGGAGTGTGTGAACCCAGACAGAGTTTTAAATGATTTAAAAGTTCAGACTCTTCTTTCAGTTTCGTTGTATCTGTCTGACTTCTAATGTCATGCATGTCTAGTTAAATATTTCATTCTTTTTTGGCCTTTTTTTAAAAAATATTGTGCTTTGGAAAATAAAAAAATCGCAGCGATATGACTTGTTATTTGTTGTTGGACCAGCCTGGCCGCGATGTGTGCGGCTGTGGGCTTTGACAGGGACTTGAAGACGGCGAGCTTGTCGATGGCTGAGCTTTGGATTTTAAACAAATCAATGCCAAGTGACTGGACCCCGGAGCGACTTCTTAATGAGAACCACTGCTCAGAGATCTCCATACTCTCTCTCCGTCTCCGCTTCGCTCTCTCTGTCTATTTCTCGCCCGCTGCTCCGTCTCTATCCCTCACACTGTTTTTATTTTCCAGCGCGCTCGTTTCTCTCACCTTTTGCCCTTTTGCCCACCAGAGAAACACGCTCGTATGCACATAAACACACACACACACTCACAACCGCACACCTCTATTTTATTTTCTTTAAAATATTCTTCGACAGCCCGGTGTCAGACCCTCCAGTGGCAGCGGCTGTTCGTGTCCAATCTATGAGTGTCACAGCGGGAGAAAACTGCGCTTCTATATCCAATCACAGTATGTCTTCACTAGGAAGAATATAGTCAAAAGAAAACTGAATAAAACCTGACACTTGATAATGCACATACTATTAATATTACCTACTATTTCCAGGATGGGAAAAAAATATAGTGCTGCACATGCAGGTGTGCGCAAATCCTCCAACAGCTGCATCTATTGTTTAGCATTGTGTGTGCGTGCAAGTGTGTGCCTCTGTGTGTGTGTGTGTGTGTGTGTATGTGAACACGTTGAGGGGATTAAGGATGTAATGCAGGATTATCCAGCAGGTAGACTTCCCACTTCTTCTGCTGAGGAGGAGATGGAGAGGCAGAGAGGATGGCGGCGAGGTAGAGATGGATGGATGGACAGAGAGGAGAGAGGAAAGAAAGCAGCAGGAAATTCATTTACCCTCACAGCAGAATTCATACAATGAGGCAGTTTTAAAGGATTCCACATGCGAGAAATGCTTTAAAAAAGAATTACTGAAGAATGTAATCAAATATTTACATATGTTGCATAAGAGACATCAGAAAAGGGTTTTTTCTTTTTCAAAGATCCTGCTTCAAAGTTGTTCACATGATTAGACAAAATAATACATCCATACATTTATGGAAATTTACACTTCAGACCTTTGGTGGTTGTCCCACATTCACATAGTAACCCCACTTATCTCTGTTGTTACTCGAGGAACAGAAAACAAACTAGCTCCAAGATGATCTAAGAGCTCTAGTAGTTTCATATTGTACAAGCAAGTCAGCGTTTCATCTTGGGGCAAAGTCGTTTAATGATTTATAGACATGGCGTAAGATTTTTTTTTTTTTTCCACACCATGACACACTGGAAGCCTGTGTAATTTCTGAAGAAGTGATGTGGAAGTGTGTGAGGGGAGGAACGAGGGAGGAGAGGAGAGTGATGGCGGCGGTGGTGGTTAATGGTTTTGTACTCTCCGGGTGATGCCAAAACATTTTTATTATTTTTTATTATTTAAAAAAACAAATTTTCTGATCCAATAATGGGAGAAAATCATTCCTCCACCTCGCGTGTTTGTATATTTGTGTCAGCTAATCTGCCTTTGCTCTTTTCGTCGTAGCTCTTCACATTGTTAACTGCACAAAAATCAGTGTTCGAACATAACGGCACATATTCAAATATAATGAGACTTGAGTCATTGCCATTGCACTGTTCAAAGTGGTTTTTATTTAGTGCAGCACACTGCTTCAAGGTCCCCACTGCCTTTTCTCATCAACAATTGCCAAGTATTAAATAAAACATGAGACATAAGAGCAATGTGAGCAAAGGAACCCGTGTTCCCCGTGTAAAGCCCACACGAGGTGATAGAGGCGATCTGACACACACACATACAGCATCCAGGAGAGGGGGGTGACAGAGACTGGATCTGTGGCTTTTTGTAATTGTTTTGGACTAATCCTAGTTTTAATATGCCTCTCGCAGCAGGGAGGCCTTCACGCCTAATAGACACCATGGATTTGTTTAATTACGTCTGTCTGTGAATGTGCAAGTGTCATGTGTGTTTAGGGAGGAGAGAGAGGGGTGCTTCAGCGCGCCACTTTGATGGCAGTTTGTTTTGTGTAATTTAATGAATTTAAAACCACCATAGGAACAGGACACGGAGGCCTAAAGAGCATCTCTGCATATAGACACAACGCTCCACACATGGATGATGGATACACACACACACACATCCAGCAAGTGAACCCTTGGCAGTACTTCTCCAGTCTGTTTGAAGTAGTGTCTCACGGGAGACTATAGGACTGTGGCAGTGTTTCACCCACTCAAACACACACACACACACACACACACACACTGGCTCGCAGGGAAAGAGGGATTGCAGAGAGAAAAGGCAGACAGAGGAGACAGTAGGAGGAGTGCTTCTCCTCAAACACACTCCAGCTCGTCTCATCCCTATCTCTGGGTCTCTCGTCGCTCTCTGTGCAGACATAGACAGGGAGCGCTTGGAGAACAGGTTGAGGTTGTTTACAGCCACACTTCTTCTTCTTCTTCTTTTTTTTTCTTTCTCCTCCTCTTTCCCGCCCCCCCACCGGTGCCCATGCGCTCATATCTCGTTCTATCACACTCACACCGACTGGGTGAGATTGAAACAGCGCACCGGGGACACAGCAAGGATATTACCCAGGCCGCATCAGCATCAGACGGGAGACTTGTCGTTTCATTTTGTCGCAGTCTCAATTAGAATAGCTTGGCCGGAAGGAGATGACTTCGGCCGCCGGAGCTGAGAGCAGACGCCGAAGCTTCCCTGATAAAAAGCCGCCCCGCAAGAATATGTTCTTTCAAAAAAAAAAACCCCAGCTAAGGCTCTATGACCGAAATTCGCTCCTCTCTGCCTCTTTAGTTAGCTGCGTGACCCATTGGCGGCCGCACAAATTTAAAGCCCCACTAGCCAATTTCAGGGCCCGCAACCTCATCTTTGAGAACAAACAAGCAATACAAGCAAATGTGGCGTGGAATAAATAAAGTAGGAAATCAAAACATGCCACATGAGTGACGGCCGAGTGAAAGGGATCAAGGCGCTTGTTTTGTGTTTTTTCTTCATTTTTTTTTTCAAGTGTGACTTTAAAAGCAGCTCATTTGAATATTTTTTTTTCTCTTTTCCAGCCTCAACTAACAGCCAGCCCACTAATGCCTCATGTTTTCTTAAAACAATGGATACATACACAAGCGCATAAAAAAAAAAAATCACAAATGCACAAAACAATCCCAGTTAAAGACAGTGCTGCAACGCTGCCAATCTGCAAAAAGCTATTATTTTAGTTCCTTGTTCTGCTGTTTTTGGCTCTTGTTTTCCAGACAATCCCCTCCCTAAACCCTGTAATTTCCTAGTGGCTCCTGCACGAGAGCAGGTATGCGCACAAGGTGCCGCATTCAACCATATCTCTTATTTTCTGTCATCCCTCTCTCTCTTACTCATTTCTCCAGACTTCCCTTTGGTGTCCCCTGGTACGGCAACAAAAGCAGCTAATGGAGAAGGAATGTACGTACACACAGGCACAGATGGAGAGAGAGAGAGGGAGAGAGAGGGAGACGAGGGGGGAGAAAGAGAGAGAGAGAGAGGGGGTGAGGATACATTGAGGCAAAAGAAAGAGGGACAGAGCCTTGTAGAAACAGAAGGATGGAAGCAGGAGGGGGGCCACGACAGTGGAGCGGAGAAGAGAGTAAAAAGCTCTCAGACATGTTGCCAATGTAACACCCTTGTTCCATGTGTTTCCGCGGCTTCTGCTCCAAGTTGTAAAGTGGTAGTCTGCGTGCACTCGTTTAAACCGCACACGCAGACTCGTGGATGTGTAGGACCGCGACTCGTTTATTTAGTCTGGAAAAAAGAGCGATGGATGCAAATAATGAAAGCTGCGCGTCAGAGTTTCACCTCTCCTGTGGGGTGATGGTTTTTTTTACACTGGCTAAGTCCACAGATATTCAATGAGAGCAACATGTCTTTTCATTTCTTTATATTTATTGGATGTTAACGCCAAACATACTTGTAAGTGAGAGCGGAGTAGAAAATGTCCATCTATGCAGGAGCAGGTTCCTTTTTCCTCTTCGCATGCAGGATTTGAATAGAACACACTGAGGTTGGTTGCAAAAAAAAAAAAAAGAGGCATCCGTCCAACCATTATCTATACACCGCTTAATCCTCACCAGGGTCATGGGGGACTGGAGTCTATCCCAGCTGACTCAGGGTGAAGGCAGGGGACACCCTGGACAGGTCACCAGTCTATCACAGGGCCACACTTAGAGACAGACAACCAAGCAC